GAGGAGAAGGTTAGCGCAATGTGTCCGCACAGAGTAACATTACATTCAGAACGCACCAGCTGCACACCCCAGCTGCTCACTCGAAAAATAACTCGTTTTCCTTTCCTGATAGCTGATTTTCTACTTTATTTTTATGAGAGGCAGATATGCACCAGAGTTAAACATGAAATACCTTCCGCTGACACCTTATGCATCTTTTCCTATCTAACCTTTGTGTCTTAAGCCTCTTTCTATCTTTGTCTTCTAGTTCATCCCACATCTCCTAGCAAGCAGAGAACAGCACTAAAGCTTTTGTTTGGATCTCGGAATTAATTATATTTACTCCCAAACTAAATTTACGGCCTGAGATTCTCAATTTCAAGGATAATCAAGGGAAACTGTAGCATTTTGTGTAGGGTGTAGTACGGTTGTATGTTTCTTTAATTCCTCCCTTAATGAGCTGTGACCAGACTCTTAAAAAACTACCAGGCCAGATATAAAAAAAATAACTAAATCAGTAATTTATATTAAAGAGATGGTACAACTTTTTTTCAATGTAACCATTCCAATTACTTTCAAAGCATCAGATACTTACTCAGGACTACAAACCATAACTTTCTCTCTGAGACCTTAATATTACTGGTTGGCAAGACTGCCATCCCACAGGACTTCGCTTTTGCCTGTTACCTTGTCTTGTCTGTCCAAAGCACACCCCTCTTGAATCAGAGTTGCTATAACATCGGTGTTCCCTACGACAGCAGCCCGGTGCAATGCTGTCTGATCACCCTGCAAAAAGAAGCAAATTTGTAATCGGTACCATTCCCGCCTCATTTTGACTCAATGCAAACGCGTAGCACACACACAGGGGCTGCGTCTTCAACACATGTACTGTTAAATCCAAGCTGCCTTTGAAAACAGTCCCCATAAACACCTATCATTAAAGCTTCCAAGATTAATGAAGTTATGGAAAGTATCAGAGAGCTACAAACCAACTGTTTACAGAAGTTTGCAAGTCATCACAATCCCACATACAGCGCTGAAGCATTCTAAAAATATGGTAGTACTAGAAGGCAGTGAATCTAACACATTTGGCACTAGGTGTCTAATAATCAACAGTATCTGTAGGGAACTAAAGGGAATTACAGGCTGTCATAATTCATCATAGTGATCCTCCAGTACTTAGACTAACTGGATGAGGCTCTCCTGTTTTGGCTCTGATTGCTCCATCAGCCCTGCTTAGGATAAGGAGCGTGAGATGAGATCAGCCTCTTCAGCACCTCTGATGAATTTACTAATTAGTGCTAAGAGTGGAGGCAATTTTAGGATGAACACCACAACTGCAAGACCATCAACTTATTTCATTCAAGCAATGGAGCGATCTTGAGGTCCAAACGACTTTCATTTCTCATTGACCTGCCATGTAGCAGCAATGAGCAAGTTTCTTACATCAGTTTATTTCCTTTATGGCCAAGCCTCCAAAAGAAATGACGCTGATGGGGTCATCTGGTCTGACTGCCCATTTATCTCCCTGCTAACCACTGTTGAACTCATTCGCTGAGCTACAGAGCCCAAGATTAATTTTCTACAAAACTTCCAGAAACTGAAGACTAGGAAAATTCAAACTACAGGCCTTGCCCATCTATATATTTTTACGTGCATTTTGGTGAGACTGCAATAAAAGAGGGGGAATAGGAGGATTTATGCAGCAGCATGTAGGGATGTAAGACACTGACCGACAGGAAAATGAGCTGCAGAAGCTCCACTGCTGCCACAACAACCAGTCTTGGCTTTCCTTTGAAGTTGCTTTGAACCTCTCATGCTGAAGCACAGCCTGAGTCCAGCCATGAAGACTAGCTTCAAAGCTGCACACAGGCTTTTTTGGGGGATGAATAAACAGAGTGGGAATCCAATCCACTGCTGCATATCTAGATAACGGTCACGAAAAACACACGCAGGGCGGAGGTATGCAGTGTATCCTGAGGAAAAAAAGCTTGCAGGAAGCTAGTCCTACATAGATACAAAACTTCTCTGCTACAAATCTTTATCAGATAATACCACATTATATTAAATAGTAAAACTAAAGGAATTTCTGTATTTTCTGTCCTACTGTCTACAAGTCTTTAGATAACTGGATAATTTCGATAATTTCTTCTCAAGGGCAATTAGCAGCTGACTTAATAATTGCTCTTGGTAGGGTTCTTTTGTGCTAATGACACTAAAATAGTTATTAATCCATAAGGGAAAAATGAGCATTACCAACCACAACCTTTTAGTAACCCCTGTAATACCAATGCCCACCACCAGTTAATCGTTAAATTGGCTTATAATCATGAAGTTGATTTTTAAAAATTGTGTTGAAGGTTTTTTTAAAAACTTGCTATGTTTTGTCTCTAGAGGTTACATAATGCTACTTTTGTTCTTGTCCCTATTAAGACTGGAAATATATTTTAAGAAATTTTGAACAAAGACAGCAGTGGTTCCAGAAACTGGCACTTTCAGAAAAACACAAAGTATTGGAAAACTGTCAGCACTGCAAGTTCCCTGAACTCGTGTACTTGTTCCAAATTTAAAGATAAACAAAATGTTATGGAAAACGTCCAAATTATACCATCTCACAAGTGCAAGCGTCAGATAGTTTCCAGTAACTACTACTGCACAGAAACCTGCTCGCTGACACGCTGGGGAAGAACTTAACACCCTTTTTTCGGTAACACGTGGTACTGATGACTGGCCCGGCTACCGCTACTGCAGCAACGGGTAATGTGGACAGTGCAAAGGTCATTTTATCTGACTACCATGAATTGGAAACTAATCCGCCAACCTATCCCTGCCAACTTGTGTTGCAGCACCAGCAAAACTACAGAAGATATTATCATAAAGACTAAAAGAAGATGACATCTGTCATTGCAATGCATGGAGCTTGAACAACGAATGGTTGGTTCCTAATTCTTTACAGTCCAGAAAATTGATCGTGGAGAAGACCAAATTGGGGGTGGGAATGGATTGTATTGGATTTAGTTTGTAATTAAGGATCTTCCCGCTGGGGCAGTTTAAATCAAGGCTGTTCTTGTCGTTGGCCCAACCCCATCACAGTAATTGCAGGGAGTTCAAAGGCCATTCAGCTTTTTCAGGTTTGTTGATATGGCAGCTACTTCTAATGGCATCTCAGTTAAATTAAAAACAAACACATATTTGGAAAGTGGGAAGCACACCTCACTGCTGCAGGAGCAGGCCTCCCTTGGTGCTGAGGGGCCATTCACCAGGCCTGCAGAATGGCAATGGGACAGCTTCAGCCATGCCCAGGCTTCGTCCCATACTATATTCTGGTCCCCAAAATGGAAGCCCAGGTAGCTGAGGGGACACAAGTCCCACAGATGGTAGGCTCAGGTGCCTCCTGCCCAAGGTGTGGGCTTTGGTGCTGACATCTTCCCTACCACAAGCATGGGGAGAGCCAAGCAAATAAGGGTAAAGTCCAACCAGCGCCCTGACCAGGTGAATAAATACTTCATCCATGTAACAGGAACTGTCAAAGGGTCTCTCAAACCCTGCCTCACCTGGAATGAGGCATCTCCCAGTGCAGACACCGCAGGTATCAATGTCCTGGTGAAGGTCACCACCCCCAGGCCCCCCAGTCAGCAGGGTAGGACCTGGTCAACCGTTCCCTCATATCTCAGCACACACATTAACCTTAAACTGCTTAAGGTGCTGTGGAAGCTGAACCACCAGATTGCGATGGCCTCTGTGTGCGAGTCACTGAACGACCCAGGCACAGACGGCGTAGCTCAACTATAAATAACACTGCCTGCACTGCTGCCTTTCTGACCTGTTTTGCCTCCCCATCAGCTGAGGAGCAAACCCCCATCATGCCTCTTACGGAGTCAGAGAAAACAGATGAGTGATATTTTTTTCACAGCATGAATTTTCAGACAGTGTAATCACCGACTCATGTATCTTTTTATTAATTGCTAAAATAACTGTCTCTGAAAGCACTCGTCGGACTTCTGCCTTTAGCAAGGCATCAGGGGGCTGTTCCAGAGGCTCAGAGTGCAATTACACCGGTAAATGTGTATTAACTGCACAGACTATTACGCTGAGTACAATTTATGATCCTATTTGTAGGTGATTTATGCCTTAGGAACAGACCGCAGATCAGTAGCAACGAAGAGAGATAACTCCAGTGCTGTGTCACACAAATGTGACCTTGACAGAAACAACAGAGTCTGCCTAAATGCAGACATGGGCCCAAAGCCAAAAAAGACACTTAGGTGCTTAAGTGAAGCTTGGTAGAAGTAAGGTACTTAAGTCTACAACAGTGTGCCTTAAAGCCCCTTCCTCAGCTGCTGCCTAGCCCTGAAAGCAACTGAAACTCGGTTTGAGTTTCCACTTCAACACCCCAGAATCATAGCATCATTTTGGTTGGAAGAGCCCTTTAAGATCATCAAGTCCAACCATTAACCCAGCACTGCCAAGTTACCACTAAACCATGTCCCTCAGCACTACATCTACAGGTCTTTTAAAGACCTCCAAGGTTGGCAACTCAACCACTTCCCTGGGCAGCCTGTTCCAATGCTTGACAACCCTTTCAGTGAAGATCTCAGCTTGCACCCTGCCATGCGGCACTGCAGTCATGGTGGCACCAAGGAGGTCGTCACGTAGCACAGACCCAGGACTGCCGCTTTCCCTAACACAGCCACCTCCCTCCTCTCTCACAGACTTGCTGGAAGAAGCTCCACACAACTTGCAGGTACGCCCACCACCCTTTGAAAAGAGGCTAGCAAAGCAGGTGGCCGCTGGCTTTTCTGCAGCAGTCCAGAGGCTACGGTACTCGCCCAGCTTGTCTTGCCACGACAGCACTGCTGTGTTGAAAGTGCTCCAATTTTAAGAAAAATCTCGGTATTCACTGGGCTAGAAAGAGGAAGAAAATGGTGGGAGACTGGGATAGGAGCCCACACTCCCCAGTGCAGCCGATGCGGGACTGCCCATCGTGAAGGCTCTGCATATAACGGGGCTATTGCACAGCAATGCCCAGCACCAGCTGGTACCTTTCCAAAGGGTGAAACCATGCTCTTAACAGAGAATTTAAACAGGAGAGGGTTACAGTCTGAGTGTCCTGAAGAAAGGGAAATACATAAATCTCCACCTTCTCCATGGATTTTTGGCATTAAGTCTTTCCTTTATCACTTCTGTGTTGGGTAGGCTGGTGGCGCTTTGCTCAGTGTCCTGGTGTTTGCAATTACCTCCTCGAGTTTCTTCATTTGCCGACCAACTTAAAGCAGTGGATGCAACCACTGGGAGTAGGCGCCTAGGAACTGGGTAGGCTTCTATTTTACATCTGAAATTCACCCCAAGGGAAAGGAAACAACACAAGGAACTTACACAGGGTTTCAGGTAGGTATTAGTACTTCTGCCAGTTCTCCTGGGTTACTGCAGTCTCTATTATAGACCCTACTGCCCAAATTCAACGAGATTCCGTTTACCCTGGTTTGTAATACCTGCTACTTTTTCCTTTCTCTGATTTCAAAAAATACTGTAAGCACCGTATTTTGTTTTCCTGCATATTCCTATTCTCCAGAGCATCTATCAGTTGTACAACCTCCTTTAAAGACCCTCTCCAGTGTCACACTTTGCCTCCTCACTGTCCTTCCATGTTTGCAGAAATCACCAAACTGTCTTCCTATAGGAGAATTGCACCAAAATAATCAGCAAAAACTCGTGCCTTCAGTGCCTGATGCTGGATGGCACTTGCGAAGTCTTATACTTTGAAATCAAACCACTACATTTACAGTAGAAAGATCAAAACATTTTAAAGTGAAAATATAACCAAGTGTTAAATACTCGCAGGAGCATACAAGCATATGTGGATATCCTGAAGCAGCTGCACACAAAGGCAACTGAGTGTGCCCTAGTCTTTCTCAATGTCAATGTGCTGTTCTCCTCCTCCTTTGCTAAAGAAAAGCAGTCATCATGATACACAGCAAGAATAATTTCACAAATGATGATGCATGACCAGAAGTGAGCAAGGCCTGAAAAAATAAACATGAAGGAAACAAATCACAGCTTAAACGACACTGAAATGAGAGCACAGGAATGAGCTGCTTTGCATATTTACATTCGGCTAGAAATGATTATGAACCCTAGGTTATTGTTCCATTTGAAATTAATTTTCTGCTTCTTAAACTGGAGCTTCCAGAAGAGAAGTTTCGGAGCCTCGGGCCTTTGTTTTAAATCAACTTGTTTTCCCAGTTAGATTTTCAGAGCGTGCACACAGGACAGGAAACTCGATGCAGAGCACCCAGCACAAAGCCCACCATGCAGCCATGCACCGCAGAAGAGCTCGGTCGTGCCAGACCACCGGGCCAAGGTTTCGCAGCATGCAGCCGTGGGAGACGTCAAGCTCAAGACAGGGTTGATGCACAAGGTTTCTAACCTCCTTCTCTCTTTCTGATCTTCTAGGTTCCTTCCTAGCCTTTCTCTTCTGGTTTCTCTTATCTTTTTCGTCCTTGATTTCCTTCACCGGGACAACTTTCTCCTTGACTATTTCTGAGGTGTGTGCTGTATGGATACTCATGGACCATTCAGAGATGGCATTGGGATCCCAGTAAGAGTTTTCAGTATTGGCAGGGAGAAGGAAAGAGTTAGCTCCCGGAGTGGCGTACTCTACAGAGCTGGACTCCACCGGTTGAAATTCATAATAATCCCACTCCAGGCCACTGGAGGTCATTCTTCAACTAATTCTTACGGCTCTTACTGTGTTTTAAAGAATGTATCTGTAGAACATGAAGCGAGTGTTTTAATGTCTCCACAGCAACTTTTAAGTTTCTGCTTATCATGTGGCAGATGAAAAGTTAGTCTTGCATTTGTTCATTAGCTACAGAGAGTCAACTCCAAAATAAAATGTGTTTAGGTTTCTCTTGTTATTTAGAAAAATACAATATATGTCATCTTTTTAGACTCTGCAGATTTTTCTGTTATCACAAAAATGCCACAGACAAAAATCAACTACGTAATTTACTTTTCAATTAAATATAATATTCCCCACTCTCACAAGTGATTTCATCTCTGAACCTAAATCTGTATTCCTGAAAAACTGCAATGAAATGTACAGATGTTAATCAACACCTGAAACTAAGATGCCTTCACTGCCAAATAAGCACAGAGTAAAAGTGACAGAAGGCATAATCAATAGATTGCAACTAAAAGAGAGTATGAATATACTGTGTGGCACATAAAGTGTAAAAATTAATTATACAAGGAGAAACCATAAATAGAGAACCTTCTTTGAAGACCTATGTAAAAGGAAAGCAGAAATATTTTAGTTAATACCTTTCACAAGCAAAAATCTTCATCTGGAATGTTAGCCTTCCTCCTCCTCTGAGACAAATACAAACACACCCTCTAAGATTCAGCAACTGTTGAGGCTCTCCTCAAACCCAACCACATTACTAGTACTAAATACAGAGCTAAAATCAAAATACATTTTAAAGAAACAGCATCTGTGAATCAAGCATGCATCTGTACAGATTAGTCACCACATTTAGAAGCGGTATCCAGTTATTGTGAACAAAGCCCCTGAGAAGCTTGCAAGGCAAGTGAAACAGGTCTTCTATGAGCTGACTATTTCTACAGTACAAGACTCTTCACTAAACTGAAAAGATGTTAAACACCAATTCACTGGTTTCTATTATGGCTATCACGTTTACATATAAACAGACTAGTTTTTATTCCTAGAGAATTACAAAACCCCCAGACTTACTCAAAAAACAGTTTTCACAGAAACCCAATTTGATCAAATCAGTGGAAGCTCTTGCCTTCTTAGAGCAGCAACTTGCTTTTCCCAGGAAAACTGACTGTATTTGTAAAATACCTGCAATTTTGTCTTAAATATGTGATGAATCATTTTTGCTGGGAGAAATTGAAAAACATACTCAGGATACATCTGAATAAACTGATACTACC